GCGATTAAGGTGTTCAATCAGCACACCAATGTTCGGAATTTTCGAAAGAAGTTTCTCACTTTGATCAACTTGTTGGTTCATGCTATCGAGCTTTAAAGAACAGATAATATTGTCTTGTTCTAAAACCACTTTACTGTATTTTAGCTTCTCATCTATTAACTCTCCCACTTTAGTTTCAAGCCTTAGCTTTGCTCGTGTGGTTTCCTCGAGTTTAGATTCTAGCTCAGTGATTTGTGATTTTAGATTTTCATTTTCAGAAAGGTTTTGGTTAAGCTCGATAGTTAGCCTTTTAAAAAAATTCCGAACTTTGGTTTTAGGCAAAGAATCAAACTTAGATAGAAAGTTTTCCAAATTTACCTCGAAACTCTCTTGGTCGGATTCCTCGTCGGAATTAGCCATAAGACACAACCCTGCATGATTGGAACTCTTTTCACCTTCTTCCTCATCATCATCGGATGAGTCTCCCCAAGCTGCCATCATTGCCTTCTTGAAGTCTCTGTTGAACCTTTTATCTTCACTGGACCTCCGATGGGAACTGGTCTTGTTCTTGTCGTAGGTTCTATCATTTTTCTTTTGGGGACAATCTTTTGCCCTGTGCTCAAAGGAACCACAAACGAAACAACCTTTGTTATTAAACGATTGAAAACCCTTTTTACCTTGCTTATTTCGGTTGCCTTTGAATTTCCGGTACATCTTCCCGAATTGCTTGGCGAACATGCTCATTTCGTCTTCCGATTCACTTTCGGATTCTTCTTCTTCTTCTCGAGCCTTGAGAGCTATTCCTCGCTCCTTTCTCACATGTTCAGCATCTTGTTCTTCTTGTAGGCCTAGCTCATATGTCATGAGTGAACCGGTCAAGTCTTCTAGCGTCATGGTAGAGAGATCTTTAGCTTCTTCTATAGCCGTAGTTTTAGGCTTCCATGCGGAGGGCAAGCTTCTCATAACTTTTCTCACTTGATCTTCCACAGTAATATCTTTTCCAAGTGTTGAAAGCTCATTTATAATATTAGTAAAGCGTGTAATCATATCCCTAATTGACTCTTTAGGTTTCATCACGAACAATTCGTAATTACGCATAAATATGTCAATTTTGGATCTTTTTACACGCGAGGTACCCTCATGCGTAACCTCGAGTAAATCTCACATTTGTTTTGCAGATTTGCATCCAAGAACCCGGTTGTGCTCAACCGGACCAAGTCCACAAATCAAATATTTCAATGCTTGAGCATTATGCTCGAGTTTACAATAATCATCAGAAGTATATTCAGATTTGGGTTTAGGGATAACCTTACCTTCGGCATCCTCCTTAGTGATGATGTTATCGCCTACCTCAATTACGTTCCATACCTGGTAGTTCTCATCCTTGATGAAGTTCTCCATTCGACTCTTCCAGAATTGATAAAATTTGCCGTTGAACAACGGTGGTCGTTGAGTCGAGTATCCTTCCCCCAATCGTTCAACCGTATTCATGTTGCTGGATCTCTTCCCAAGGTTTTAACCTTTATGTGGTGAAGACCGGCTCTGATAACAATTGATGAAACGGTTAGCAACACAAGAGGGGGGGGGGGTGAATTGTGTGTGTGTGGAACCGTGGCAGTTTTTCGCACAGTTCTAGTGTGGGGTCCAGGGAATTACGAAATAGTAAAGTACACAAGGATTTAACGAGGAAAAATCCCTTGGCTCAAAGGGATTAAAAAACCTCGACCTCCCTCGGAGGAATTTGAACAACTCCACTAAAAAGCCTTTGAATGATTACAAGGGAAACTCTCCTAGTCTACCTGATGGATAGTCTACCCGGGGGTATATATCCGAAGGGTTATTACAGGGAATAACTTAGAGAGAAGTCAGAGCAAGTAAATAAAAGTAGAGAGAGTGTGTATTCAGTATAAGTGTCGTTTTCAGCGTGGTTACAAATGAGGAAATGGGGTGCTATTTATAGTAGCAATAAATGCCGGACAGGGACACGTGTCAAGCGCTCATTGGCTGAGGGGTCACCTCAACTGGTTGGCGCTGGCAACCGCATGTGGCCGTATTTAATGTGGCTGTTGGATGGGACGTCTGTGCAGGGTACGGTGATCTGTACGCATGTGAGGCGGATATCTTGTCGAGCGAGATGCCTTCGGCTATAGAGCAGTAGCCGAGGGCTCCTCCAACCGATGGCACCCTGGTGCCGAGGGCTCACAGTGCCGAGGGCTACTGTTTTCGCCGTTTTCTCCCAGTTTCTTAATTTGCTTGGGAACCCCGTTCTGCAAGAGTTTAGAGCCTTCGGCCAGGGGGCCGAAGGCACCCCTGGCGCGTAGTGTGGGCTGCTCGGTACTCTGGGCGCTGTGATTTGGGCCTGTTGGACCTTCTGGGCCTGTTGGGCCTCTAAAGGAGTAGTAGGAGTTTGTGGGCCGGGTGTTCCCGGGCCATATACTCCATCAGGAGTCCCTCACTCCTTTTGCCGAAAGGTACTTGAGGGAAAAGGAGTAATTTGTGCTTGCCCTTTGATGTTGTCCCGTCGTGATCTCTGAAGTTGGTGAGGAGTTGTTGCTTTTATGTCCCTGCCGAAGGCAGTCCCTCAGTTACCCACATGTCGGGACTTGAGGGCTTGCTTTGTTGTTTGTTGGAGTTTCTACATCTTTTGTAATTTAATGATTTTCCCGAGGGCGTCCTCCAGTCCCCCACTCCTTGAGGCACTTGTAAAGTGGTGAAAAGGAGTAGAGTAGTTGCGTTGCTGTTGTGGGCCGAAGGCTGACGTTTTTCATTTCATTTTGGGGGGATGCCTCGTTAAAAACCTCATTAGGAAAAACCCTGGGGGAAAAAATCCTAATGAGGGAAAAAGAGTGCACCGAATTCCCCCAATGATGAATCGAAAATGTCAAACCTTGGTCAAAAATGGAGAATAACGGTAATGGCGAAGGCTCTTCTTTTTCTGAGGGCTCATGTATTGATCAGCCGAAGGCTTGCCGTTGATATCCTGGGGATGCCGAAGGGGAGCCCGTCAATCCGGGGATCGAGGGCCTGCTGGATGAGGGCGGCAACGGAGTTGTTACCGGGGGGTCCACTGTTTGTTGTTAGTTGGTGATGAAGATACCCGAGGGCTCCCATTACCTGTGTGCGACGGGTTATCCGTCAATGAAGGCAACTCCCCGGGGGCTACCCGGTTTTGCAGTGCTGAGGGGGAATTCCCGAGGGGTGCCCTGATATGAAGCCTTGGGTTCCTGAAGGAGTGATCCCGAAGGCGTCCTGTTATGTGCTTTGTGGGGCACAACCCGGGGGCACTCCTGAGTGAGTGTACCCGGAGGCTATCCTTGATAAAGAGGAGTGAAGTAGAAAACCCGGGGGCTTCCAGAATATAGCCGTTGGAAATATAGCCGTTGGAATATGTAACGACAGGATATAGCCGTTAGGGGGGGTGGCACACGTGGCGTGTGATGGCTGGCTTGTTCGTGGGCGGCGTCACCGGTTGGGTGAAACGACGGTGTGTAATGATGACGGTCCATCCGGAGGCCCGGTTTCCGGGCCCAAGCCCGGATTCCGGCGCCTATAAATACCCCAAGGCCAGAGCCATTTCCCCTTGTGCGATCATTTGTCTTAGCGAAGCTCTGCCCAAAATTCTAGTGAGAGAAACTCAGGCCTTCGGTCAAAACTTCTGCTTTCAAGGTCAGTGCCCGCTTTCCCTTCACCTCTTAGCTACCTATACTGTGCCCTTAGGTTAGGAGATAGAAAATTTAGAAAACACTAGCGTCTACAAGCCTTCGAACTAGAGTCAGCATGTCGTCCCAGAGTGATTCTCAAGATATCTCGGGGGCGCCCTCGGTGGAGGATGAAGTCCTCTCGGACGTGGAGTCCTCAAGTGCAGAGTCCTCGGTGGGACAGGATGCCGTCGTTGCCCTGGAGTTGCAGAAAGCCCTCGTAGCTGAGGCGGAAGCCGAGGGCTTTGAGCAAGAATGTGAGGACGAAGAGTTGGCCATCGCCTGGCAAGCAGCTGAAGAGGAGGCACAAAGAGAAAGCGAGAGGGTCACCGTCGCTGTGCTCCCCCCTCGGGGTGCCGGGGAGGCCAGCACCTCTCGGCCGCTGAATGCGGTCCCCATCCGGGTGGCCCCCGGAAAGAAGAAGGCCAAGGCCGCTGTTCCCAAGAAAAAGGGCAGCGTAGCAGATCAAGGGAAGCCCCTCGATATGCCCGAGGGGTACTCCTATCTCAACACCGCCGCATTGGAGATCAAGTCGAAGGTTGATGCGGCGGACATCTATGTCACCCAGCTTCACGTGGGCCCCTCGGCCATCGTGGTGACACCGGGTCCGGATGACGTTCTCTCCCGGGCTCCCGAGGGCTGCATTGCGGTGCACGTCCTCTCAGTATCCATGGGGCTCCGCTTCCCCCTGCACCCCTTCCTCCGGGAATATCTTCAGTTCGTGGGTCTGGTTCCCTGCCAGCTGACCCCTAACAGCCATTCTTATATCACTGGCTTCCTCCAGCTTTGCAAGTCCCGGGGGGTGACGCCTAGCCTGGACCTCTTCTTCCAGAGCTTCAACCTGTGCCGGGGGGGCACGCGAATGCCGAGGGGTTCGCCAATCTGCAGCAAGTGTCCACGTTCAAACTCTTCACTGAGGCGCCCTCCTCGAACAAGGGGTGGAAGGACCGGTGGTGCTATGTGAAGCTAGCCGAGAGCCCCTTCCCGAGGTAGCTGCGTGACCGCTTCAGGAGGCACGAGAAGAGGAGGAGCGCCGCCCTCGAGAAAGATGGCAGGATTCTGGCCATGATCCCGGAGGGCCGGGACAAGAATATCTCCATCAAGGATTGCACCAAAGAAGCAGATCTCTACACCCTCGGGTTCCGGCGGTACCGGTTCCTGGGGGAAACTGATGAGAAGTTCCCAGTGTTTGAGGGAGCCTCTCGAGGTAGTAGCTGAGGGCATTCTCACCCTCATATCTTAGCACGTTTGTTCATTTGTTTTGTTAATTCTTTATGCCACTTAGTAGTGACCCCTCGATCCTAACCCCTCGTTTTTTTGCAGGTGTTCCAGTAAGTATGATGAACGTCAAAGGCCTCGCCCGACTCAAGAACAAACCGGCCAAGGATCCGAAGGGGCCGGACGCTGGTGGCCAAAAGCCCGTCGGTGCGCCTCCCAAAAAACCCGAGGGCGATGCTGCTGCGGCTAAGAGAAAGCCGTCGGCAAAGGAGCCCCCCCAAGCCCCCAAAAAGTTGAAGAAGGGGGATGCCGCGAAGGATGACCCCCCGGTGGTGATTGTAGATGACCCTCCGGAGATGCCGATGGCGCAGGCGCCGAGGGGGGTCCGGGAGCCATCTCTCGAGGTCCTCACACTCTCCCTTCCGGCTGGCACAGCCGTGTTGAATGGCACGGCTGACCCGAGGGCGCTCCTGAGAGGTATAACCCTCGATATCGACAGGGCAGCTCTCGGGGCCGATGATGATCAAGCCCTTGAAGACAGGATCCTCCGGTCTTCCCTCACGGTGAGTTCACTGTAGTTTGTCTTTCTGTTTCCCACTTTGAACTAAGAAATCACGTTCGGCCCCTGACAACCCGCTTATCTTTGCAGACTTGCGTTGCCCTCGGGGAGCAGTTCCGACGGCTGGAGGAATGGCGCCTCCACAAAGCTGGGCAAGACGCCAAGATGAAGGAGCTGATCCTTAGGGACTCCCAGGCCACGAAGCTGATGGCCCAGCTTGAGGAGGACCTCCGGCTTGCGAGGGCGGAGGCCGGGAGGCTTAGGGAGGAGAAGGCAGAAGCTGAGGCGGCCGCTGCGGAGGCCGCAAGGAGAGCAGCCGAGGAGGCCGAGGCCATCAAGGCGAAGGCTGTCGCCACAGCCCGGGAGGAGGCCATCTCTGGGTTCCTGGACGGGGGGTGGAAGACCGAGGGGCACAAGGCATGGCTGTCTTCGGTTGTTGAGGCCTCGGTTGATGAATGGTCCGAGGGCCCGGGGGAGGAGTGGATGGCCCGGAAGGGTAAGCAGTATTATGATGGGGGTGAGTTCTTCACTCAAGCCCTCATCTACTGGAGGATGGCCCGCCATCTGAAGGTTGAGCCGAAGGACTTTGACCCGGCGGCGTACGGGCTCCCCCCTGCAGCCAGATATCCGTGTTCCTCTCCCCCCTGATGTCGAGAGGCCAGACCTAGAGGATTCCGAGCTCCGAAGGGAAGTCGAGGGCGACGATCCTGAGGCCGATGTAGAAGTTACCTCGAAGCCATCGGGGGAGGCGGCCCCCGGGAATGACATTATTTGATATGTACTCTGTAATCTGAACAATTTTGTAATAGCCTCGGCCTAACATTGTAATAACTATATTTACTCCTTGTTGTGATGAATGATTGAATGCCTTCGGGCTTTGTATCTATGGCCCCTTTTTCTTTTCTAATTCCTTCCCTTTTGAATGTATGCCTTCGGTATTTTTGAATGTATGCCTTCGCTCCTTCGAATGTATATTTTAGGACTTAGAATATTATCTGATTGTAGCTAGCCCTTGGGAGCCTTCGGTAGTTGGGCATCCTCTGCTGGACATACAACCGAGGGTTTAGCAGGAATTGGGACTTAGAAATTTTTTCTAAGTGTAGCACAGCATGAGGCCTTCGGGCGTTTGTAGTAACCCAAATCCTAGGACTTAGAAAAATTTCTAAGTGTAGATTTCCCCTTGAAAGCCGTCGGGATATGGCATCCCTTCCTGATGTGTGAATGTTGGACCGAGGGCCCAATGTACAGGACTTAGAAATTTCTTGCAAGTGTAGTATGTCACGTAGCCTTCGGTTACTGGGGAATCCCAACTGAAATATTGAATAGGCTGGGGGGCAATTCTTTAGGACTTAGAAAATTTTCTTGAGTGTCGATTCCTTGTGCACTGTAGCCCTCGATTGATAGGTAGCTTTCGGCTATTAGGTCCCTTTATAAGATGAGGGTGAAATATGTAGGACTTAGGAAGATTTCTAAGTGTAGATTTTCCCTTGGGAGCCTTCGGGAGATGGAATCCCTTCTTGATGTATGAGTAGTTGACCGGGGGGGAAATATGTAGGACTTAGAAAATATTCCGAGTGTAGATCTTCCCTTGGGAGCCTTCGGGAGATGGCATCCCCTCTGATTCCACATCACTCTGCGAGATGCCCGGGGGCTGCTCATTTAGGACAGAATATTTTTCAAGCGTTGTTGTATTGCCTGGCCTTCGGCTACCATATTCCCTTGGCAGTAATATTGATTGGGCCGGGGGCCCAATCTTTAGGACTTAGAATTTTTTCGAGTGCTGCTTCCTTGTGTAGCCATCGGGTGATAGGTGCCCCCTGACTCTACATTACTTTGCGTAAATTGATGTTGAATCCCGTTGTTGTGAAGAAGGCCAATCAGGAGTGTGTGCCCTCGGCATACACTCTGAAGAGTTGTAGAGTTTGACTCAGCCAGTTGTGTCCCTTGTAATGGGGTAGGGGCCCTCGGTATTAATATATAACAGCTGCCTTCGGTACATATTTGAAGGTACCTTGCTGCTATTTGTTCGAGTAGTATCCTTCGGGAAATAGGAGCCTTCAGTTACTGGAGGTACTCTTTGATTGTAGGGAGTCCTCGGCTTGTTGTGATCTGTTGGAGTGTACTCTTTGATTTCTCGCTGAGTCTACTCCCCTTCACCCACTCTTTTTTTTTTTTTTTGGTTGGTGGTGAAGGGAAGGCATCAAGAAACTTGGTTTCTTGGTAAGGCTGGGCCTATTAGGAGACCATCAGAATACACCAATGGCTCTCCTCCCTCGGGTTAACCTTCCGAGTTCCGAGGGGATCGAGGGACGTTTCCTGGGCACAAGATATGGTGGTCCGTAACCTGCCTCCCCTTGGGGGATGGCGCGGAAAGCGCCTCATTTTTGAAAGTCGTCCCCTCGGCGTTAGACATAGTCCGTGGCCTGCCACACCCTTGGGGTGGTGGCGCGGGGAGCGTTTCGGTTTGGAAGTCGAATCCTGGGCATTTCTCATGCCTGTCATACCCTGGGGGTAGTGACGCGGATAGCGTTCCGTTTTTGAAAGTCGAATCCTGGGCATTTCTCATGCCTGTCATACCCTGGGGGTAGTGACGCGGAAAGCGTGTCAAGGAAGGGTTTTCATTTGCACACTAGTTGCAAATGGCCGGGGGCACTACGTGCCGCCGGCACCGATGGTGGCGCCTTCGGTATATGCGTTCTCATGGGGTACGACTTTTAGAAACAACACTTGGTGTTAGTTTCAATGTGTAGCCCCCGGTACTTGGTACCGAGGGGTCATCTGTAGGAACACTTGGTGTTCTCTTTTGTCGTAGTTGATGTAGGCGCCTACCCTCGGTACTTGGTACCGAAGGGTCTTCAAATGAAACACTTGGTGTTTCCCAACAGATGTTTGGAAGTTGATAGGAGAGCATATCCCTGGCACTGGGTGCCGAGGGGTCTTCTTTGATGATGTTTGATGATGGAGGTGTACCCTCGGCACTGGGTGCCGAAGGGTCTTCTGTAGGAACACTTGGTGTTCTCATCTTTTCTTTTTTGATGTTGAAGGTGGGGATGTACCCTCGGCACTGGGTGCCGAAGGGAAATGAATTACATGGCGTTCTTTGTTGTTGGTGATAGGAGTTCCCTCCCTCGGTACTTGGTACCGAGGGGTCTTGAGAGAAAAACCCGTGGTGTTTTCACTGTTGTTGCAGGTGTTGATGGTGTCCGCCCTCGGCACTCGGTGCCGGAGGGGGTTCTTCTCGTGGTGAGGCCAGGGGCCTGTAGTCAGTATGGGGGGATGATGTCTTGAATGTATCTTCATTCTTCGAAATTGGAGGCCTTGGGCCATAGGATAGTACATTCACTAGTTATGAGGGCTTGGCCGCTCTTACATTATTGATAAAACTTAACTAAATGGTGTACATTCCAATGTCTAGGGACTTCTTTCCCATTGGGGCGTTTGAGCTTGTAGGTCCCAGGTTTGATGATGGCTGCTATGATGTAGGGGCCTTCGAATTTTGGTGCCATTTTTCCTCCCTCGGTTGGTTGGCTGGCTTCCCTCCTCCGGAGGACATAGTCCCCCACTTGAAATTCTCGGGTGCGAACTTTGGCGTCGATGTAGCTTTTAACTTGCCTTCGGTAGTTTTCTGCCCGGATGAAGGCCTGCTCCCGGCGTTCTGAAATGAGGTGGAGGTCGAGGGCCATGTTGCTGTTGTTGACCTCGGGGTCATATTGGATCACCCTTCGGGTGGGAAGGGTGACTTCCGTAGGAGCTTTGGCTTCAAAACCGTAGCAGAGGGAGAAGGGTGTTTCACCTGTTGCTCGCCGAGGGGTGGTGCGATAGGCCCAAAGGATATTGTGGAGTTCTTCCACCCAGCCACCACCCTCGGCCTCCAGCTTCTTTTTGAGGCCCTCGAGCAAGGTCCGGTTGGCGTTCTCTACTTGCCCGTTGCCTTGAGGGTAGGCAACGGAGGAGAAGGTGTGTTTGATGCCCCATGCCTCCAGAAGGGCACGGAATGGGGCTGCCTCAAATTGTGTCCCATTGTCGGAGATGATCTGCTGGGGGACGCCAAACCTTGTGAGGATGTTCTTGAGGACGAAGTGACGGCACTTCGCCTCTGTGATGCTGGCGAGGGGTTCAGCCTCCACCCACTTGGTAAAATAGTCGACGGCCACAATGATGTATCTGTTGTTGGAGGTACCCCTCGGCAGGGGGCCCACAAGGTTTATCCCCCATCGAGAAAATGGGACAGAGGTGCTGATGGGGGCATAGTTGACCGCTGGCCTGCCGGGAGCTTTCTGGAAATGTTGACATGCGGTGCACCTCCGGGCAAGGTCAGCACAGTCCCTGGCCATGGTTGGCAAAAAGTAGCCCTGGAGAATGAGCCTTCGGGACATGGAGAAGGGTCCCTGGTGAGCTGAGCAAGTGCCACTGTGCACTTCCTCAATTGCGACCTCGGCTTCATCTGGATGAAGGCACCGAAGTAGCGTGCCATTGTAAGATCATTTGTAGAGCCTTCCATCTTCGATGGTGTAGCTAGGAGCCCTCAGCTTTGTCAGTTTAGCGCGGGCCTCATTCTCGGGTAGCTGTCCTGTGGAGATGAAGGCGGTGATATCTGAGATCCAATCCTCCTGACGTTGTTGTATGTTCATAACGGGGCTTGCATGGATGCTTGAGAGGCTGAGTTCCTCGATCTTGGCAATTTTGGAGATGTGCTCGGGGGAGTCGGCCGAGAGCTTAGATAATATGTCGGCCTTGGAGTTCTGAGCCCTCGGTATTTGAGTGAGAGAGTGTGCCTCAAATACCTTAAGCAACTCCTTGGCCGCTTCCTTGTACTATTTCATTCTCCCCTCCTTGGCCTCATATTCTTCGGAGATTTGGCCAACGACCAACTTGGAGTCGCATTTGATGTGGATCTGCCGAGCCCTCATGTTGGCAGCCAGCCGAAGGCCACATAGGAAGGCCTCATATTCGGCCTCATTGTTGGAGACCTTGAAGGAGAAGCGGATTGCATAGTAGGCCCTGAAGCCCTCGGGAGTAATGAGGACTACCCCTCCCCCGCATGCTTTGGTCGCGGAGGAGCCGTCAGTGTAGAGGGTCCACCAGTCGTCCGAGGTAGCCGAGGGCTCCCCGTCCGTGGCTGCCCTTGCGGTACACTCCGTCACAAAGTCCGCCAGGGCTTGGCCTTTGATGGCAGGCCTTGGGCGGATGTCAATGTTGTACTGGCTCAAGAAGATAGCCCATTTCACCATGCGGGAGGAGCTGGTGGGGCTCCTCATGAGGGCGCCGAGGGGTTGATGAGTGAGGACCTGAACCGGGTGAGCCTGAAAGTAGTGGCCCAACTTTTTGACAGTCCAAACGATGGCTAACACCGTTTTTTCCACAGGGGAGTACCTGAGCTCGGCCTCCCTTAGGGTCTTGCTAACGTAGAAGATGGCATGTTGGATGCCGTCTTCCTCCCGGATGAGCACAGAGCTGATGGCCGCCGGGCTAACCCCAAGGTAGAGGTAGAGGGTCTCCCCTACCTTGGGTTTGGAGAGCACAGGAGGTGAAGATAGATATCGTTTGAGCTCGTCGAAAGCCCCCTGGCATTCTGGAGTCCATAGAAAGCTAGCTGTCTTCCTCATGATCTGGAAGAAGGGTAGAGACTTCTCCGCCGATTTAGATAGAAAGCGGTTGAGGGCTGCCAGGCGGCCCGTCAACCGTTGAACTTCCTTCACATTGCGTGGGGGCTCCATGTTGATGATGGCCTGGATTTTCTCGGGATTGGCCTCAATACCCCTTCGGCTCACCATGTAACCCAAGAACTTGCCCCATTGGACGCCGAAGGTGCACTT